CAGCTTGTGTTTTTAAGCCATATAAATTTTGTTTGCTTTTGTCTGTTAATAGTGAGGAAGACAACTGGAGTAGACCAAACTTTTGTGGGTTTTGTTGGTTTTAGGATCTTTTGGGGTTTTTTGGTTTTTTTTTTTTTTGTTTGTTTGTTTGGTTGGTTTTTTTAAGAGGAGAAAAGACACAGGCAAAGAAAAAACCCTTAGCTTACCAACCTTACCAGCACCCTCCTCCTCCAACCCAACATGATGGCAGCCTGGGCAATAGTTGGTCATTCCTTTGCACAATGCTTTATCAGCACAGATGGACAAACATCCCTGCTGCTCCACCAAAAGCCTGATAGTGTCAACCACAATGGATGGAGCGTTGCCACTGCACAGATCCTCTCTGACCTCCATCTGGTGCTCATGCTGGGCCCTGCTCTGGCTGTCACCCCCCCAGCCACACAACAGCTCCTCACACGTGAGGCAGCCGTGGCTCATGGATCCCACCTGGCAGTCACCTCAGGGAGTGGTGGTGAGTAGAGAAAGAGATTAATTGCCAAGATGTTTGTTTAAATCTTCCCTCCTTTTCCCCGCTTAGTTCTCAGCAAGGTGGAGAAACCCCACACCAGGGTTGTTCAATCAGGCAGTGGTTACTCTGGCTCTCCTTATCCTGTGTTAAGCATATGCATCCTTGTACATTCTACTTAATCGTGCACCCACTGGAACAAATGCTTTGGTATTAAAATAATTGGTGGAAGCTTTATTAGAAAGTTGATTTCCCAGCAGGGATACAGCACTCCAGCACATCTCAGAAGAGCACATGTGGATGCTGGCAGGGCTCAGACATGACTCGCAGAGTGATTACATTTTACATGTGAAATTTCAGTCCCATTTCAGTCATGAACAATGAGCACTTACATATTACAGATAGTAGAAAGCACTGCAGTCACCAGACACTTCCACACTGAGACATTGAACAAAAACACAGCAAAAAGAACTTATCATCTTGGGTTGGGAATTTTGCTGATCTGAGATCTTCTACTCCATCACAGTCTTGACTCAGTTACAAAGGCACACTCATAGGTCAGGAAAACTGCAGGCTCAAGTATCGCTTAAACAGGACCCAAAACCACTGGATGGGATTGAAGGTTTGTGTGATATTGGACCATTGTTTTGCTAACTAGTCACTGCTGTTTGTATTCAAACAATAGGGAAAGAACTGTATTTAAAAGCTGGCTATTGTTGCCAAAACGTCACCACACAAATCAAAAGCAATGCTTTATTCTGTTGCCTGAAATTCCAGCTCTTTTTTTTTTTTTTAAACACAATATAGTTCTTTAAATAAACTAAAAATCAAAACACAACCCAACCGACTGTGAAAGCCCCTGCAGGGATGGGTAGAGGGTGTGGAAGGAAGAGAGAACAAGAGCACTTGTACTGCATTGCCCCATTTCCTTGCCCCTCACCAAGATGACTCCCTGATCTAAGCAGAGACACTGTGCATTGCACACAGCCTCTGAGGAAGAATCAAATCCTCTTACTTCATTACCTAGTGACTCTAGAAAAGATCAGGAGAAACAACACAAATGCTTTGGGAAGCAGAAATCCCAGTCTTGGCTTAGTTGCCATAAACCTAAAAACTGCCAAGGCAGACGCATGCACAAAAATATGTTGGCTGCAGAGTACTTCTGGCTAATCCTGCTCTTCAAAATGAGTTTGAATAAATAAAAAGCAGCAGAAGAAAGCAAAGTCATACAAGAAAACAAACTGCCCCACTTCCATACAATATTTCCATGAAGCTCATCCTTTCAGCACCCATGGCCACCAATCCAGAGCCATTTTCACCCAAGGGAATAACTCAGAGACAGGCTATTGCCACATGCACTCATAGTTAATAATTTTCATGTGCTCTCTGCTCAGTCAGTCCCCTCTTTACCAAGAAAATGAAACATCTCTAAGCTCTTTGTTCTGCTGAAGAATTTGTAAACTGAATGCTGTGAAGAAAAACTCTAAAAAGACTCAAGGGGAAAGGAGCAATGTAACTTGCAGTGCTGCAGCAGAAATATCAAACACACATATATTAAGGTTGTGAAGCCACGTGGTTTTCATTTGGGATGTGTGGGTGAACACATACGGTTGCTTTCTTTATACCCTAAGCACAACAAAGGAAGGCTTTGTTTGAAAGCCAAGGGACAGCCTCTCAGCTCACTTAAAGGCTAAGTTACATCGTAATGGGAACTGTGAGTCAGAGCTGTGGGGCCCCTGCTCACAGGACAAAACCCCTCTGCTGCAGCAGGCAAGGAGCTCAGCAAGGAGCAGAGACCCAAAGCGTCCAGGACTAGCAGCAAATACAAGGCTGAGCTGAGAACACGTGTTGTGGATGACTTAGCACACAAACACACCCCTTTCAGCCAACATTCCTGCCTGTAACTCTGTCAGAGCGTGAGATCATAAACCTGCACCTATTCCAAGAGCACGATGCAGCTATGAGTCAACAGGAAGGTGGGATAAACACAATCCAAACATCTTCAGACCATCTTTTGATTTTGGCTGCGGAAGAGTATGGCCATGATTCTTAGACTGAGCATAGCTAGGTGGGAGCTGAGAAAAGTAGCTCACCAGATGGGACCACACTAGAGCTCTGTCCTTAAGTCACCTACTGTGCCAGATAATTTGTGTCATTGTGTGTTACAGGAGGGGAGGATCAGCTGATGGATTCCAGCTACCCAAAATAAAGACATCACCTCCATTCTTGCCCTTGTAAGACTGGAAGATAAGGGCAAGTTTTAGTTATCATGAATGAGTTGCAATCTGCAGTGCAGAGGTGTCTGTGTGCTGCAGAAACTTCAAGTATTTTCCCTCACATTTCCAATAGTCCCAATGTATTTGGTTGCTAAATCCCCAGAGGGCTTTAGAAATCAAATTCTCCTCTGAAACCAGTGGTAGTAAGTTACCTGAATATCCAGGAGGAAACAGATTAGGATCTAAGCATTCTGGGTGCAGATACAGAACACTAAGCCCCTCTGAGAAGCATTATGGTGTGAATATCAAGTGTGACATTTTAAGCTTGAGAACATCTCCTTGGCTCTGCCTCTGATATGTGTTAACACTCTACAAGAGTTTAAAAAATAGGAGGAAAAAGAGGTCTGAAAAAGCAATAGAGTTTATTTCTTCTGCCTACACGCATGGCTTACACTGCGCCTCGATGATTTCTGGCAAGTCTCTGTTTAGTTTGTTCGGAAAGGCTTCCAGCAAATCTCTGCCTCCCAAGGCAGTCTAGACTACTGCTTAGCTGCCCCTACCTGCAGGAAAGTCTCCTTATCACTGCATGTGCTTTCTCCAAAACAAGCAGTTTGGATCCCTGCAGGGATCCTGGCACAGGCAGGTGTTATCTTGTCTTAGGGAGCTACTCTACCTCTTTGCAAACAGCGTGGGAACCATTTGCTCCCATTCCTCATCAGGTGCTCACCACTCACCACCAAACCCTCTGCAACTTGGAAGAGCTGAAAGCAAGGCATTCTCAAGCCAATTTACATTGGTTTTTCTGGGTCTTACCACAAACTCTACTTTTTCAACTGAAAGCACCCACCATCCCCAGAGGCAACCCAGGGAAAGATGAGTTGGTTATACAGGTGGCTCAGCTGACACCTTACAACTCACGTCCCTTTTTCTGCTCAGGCATAAGAACCTTCTCTACGTGCTCTTCCCCTGGTTTCAAAAGTGAAGGAACAGTAACAGTTTTCCTTTGCCAGGCAACCAGAATAACCCAATGACGGTGCCTAGCAGGGCTTAAATGCTGCAACAGCTGGCTGCAATGGTCCTCATCCTTGCCAACACCATGCTTGGTTTTTCTGAGCCACATATATGGCAGTGGATGCATCAGATGTTTTCTGTATAACTGCTGAAAAAGCATCTCTGCCTTGAGGCAAATATTGCTGATACAAATAAGGTGCTAGATCAGCCAGAAAAACCTGCCTCTGGAGGAGGGATAATAATGAAACATGGTGAATGGAAAGGAAAAAGAGAAAGAGCTTCATTTACACACAGGAGAATGGCAGTGGGCCAACTCTCACAACTTTGATCGGGGCTGGCTGGAGGAGCATGCCAGGGAACTCTCTGAGCTGAGCTTTGCTAGAGCAGAGCAGCAGTTTGAACTCTGTGATGGGAAAAAGGGGACAGACACCACCCAACACAGATCCAGAATAAATAAGTTAAAAAAAAAAAAATCACGTGGAGTGCATGAGCTAACAGGTACTCAGAGCTGTAGCAGGACATTGTGGCAGCCAGGAGTGCTGCTCTGGCAGCTCCCTCTGTCATCAGCTCCAGTTCTCGCCCTCCCACCACTGCTACCCGTAGAGTCTCCTGTCACACACTTGCAGAACAGCACTGCCAGACATCTTGGTTTCACCCAGTTCTCCTTTCAGTGTGTTTTTAGGGGTTTTCATACAAACATGAAAACTCTACATTTTGCTGGCTTGTCAAAGCACTATTTCCCTTTGTCTGCCTCTGCTGTCACCCTTGATCATCTGGAAGTTGTCCAGGCACTTCCAGGCATCTGCTCTCCCTCTAACACTTAGAAGAGGGGAATTCCAGTACTTTCCCAATCTGGATAAGGTATTTCTGGCAAGTTCTCCTCCACAGCAGAAAATGCATCAGTAACTGATGTCAGCAAAGCTTTGGACCCTTTGGTTCCCCTCTGCCATCACTCTCTGACTAGATCCCAACTGTACCAAGCAGTCAGCTATGACCAATTTTATATTCAAAGTCCAAAGGGAGAGGCTTTTAACACTGATCTTCCACACTGAAGCCATTTCCAAATTAAACCTTCACAACATTGCTACTTTTGCTTTGCAAGAAGCTGTCTGTACCTCACTGCTGGGAACATTTCTAAAATATGAGCCACACCAATTTCCTTTCAGCATTTCTGCTGCAAGGCTCAAGATCTCCTAGTGAGAGCCCATCAAGAAGCTTTTTAAAATCACATCAAATCTGGAAGGAAGAATGACCCCTGGAGCACTTACCTGCTACACAGCTTTGCAGGTACTCATTAAACTTCGCATTACTACTATCACCGTGATGTAGAGAAGACTAAATTCAGTCACCCGCCACTGAAGCACAGCCAGGAAGTCTGCAAAACACAAAGAGCATGAATGAGGAAGTGCAGGCAGAAGACGGGTACGTAATGCAGTTATCTAAATGATGGATTGATTAAAAGAGAGATTAACTCACCCCCTTACCTAATAAAATGATCATAAAAGCTCAAGAGACCAGGAATAATCAGTTTGAAGTGATCACGGAAGAGTTAAAAAGCTGCTTCTCCCATGGGTGTCGGCAAGCAAGGACTTCCCTCCTCTGACTCCATCCTCACCCACCAGCACTCTCCTTTTAAAATGGATTAGGGTCAAATGAGCAGCTGCATAAGTGCAAGGGCTGGGACAGTTTTGTCTGGGATTGGTTTGTCTAGAAAAGGCATCTAGCTTCTGTAAGCAGCTTGTAAGGTAGAAATACTTGCTCGGGGAGTTGGGTTTACAGAGCTAATGGGAGAAACAGAAAACAGAAGAGGCAGGAAGCAAGGGTAAGAGCACAGGAAGATGTGAAACGCAGAACCGCAGAAGATAAACTACAATATTTTAGGACAGAGAAGTGAAGAAATTTTATATGCAACAGGAAACAACCAAGAGGAGGAGAAGACCAAAGCTGGTTGCAGGCAGACAACAGAGACATTCCTCTTCCCCAGCTGCACACAAATGGGTTGGGGAGGAGGAATGCAGCACCCTCATTTCCAGCTACCACCACTTCAAACCTTCCCACTGTCCTCGTCCAAAGCCTGATGAAATGATCAGTGTGGGCTAAGCTGAGCTTGAAGCCCATTTTCAGGGCTCAGCATTAGGTTGACGCATCCTTGCTCTCTTGAACTTCTTCAGTTCACTCCCTCCCACGTATCTGCTTTGACCAGACAGTGTGTACAGTTTCACTTCTCTGTTTCCATCTTCCACTGTGAGGCCAAATTGGCCAAATGGGCTCTGCCCAGCCCTCCCATCTTGCAGGGCTGCTGGTGCCTCTGCTCAACTGGTGTGCCACAGCATCACAGACTGCTGAACACAGGAGAAAGACACCCCAAGCCCCAAAGGTCTGGATCTGCACTGTAATATCCCAGTGGATATTTGTAAACCCTCGGGGCCTGCAATGTCTGGTCTTGTGGTGGCTCAGGGCCAGTGAGGTAGAGCAGGTGTGTCTGCTTAGAGGAAAGGAGCTATTAAATGCTGGGCAGGAACTGCTGCTATGGGACATACAATTAACTTGTTAAGAAAATTTTTGCATCTCAAATGAGAAACTTTAAGTTAGGGTCTCCCTCAACTTTGTTTACAGATGTTGGAGAGACCTTGACTAAGCCTTATGGGTTAGCCAAAGTCTGGAAGGCCAAAATGATGTCTTTCCAGAACCTCCAGGCTGAACCACTCTCTCAGCCTGTTTTGATAGGAGAGGTGCTGCAGCACTGTGATCATCTTTGTGGCCTCCTGTGTACCTGCTCTAAGAGTTCCATGTCCTTCCTGTTCTGAGAACCCCAGAGATGGATGCAGCACTGTGGGTAGAGTCTCAGCAGAGTAGAGTAGAGAGGCAGAACCCCCTCCCTCGACCTGCTGCTTCGGATGCAGCCCAGGACTTTGGCTTTCTGGGCTGTGGGCACACATTGCTGCATTGGTCCAGTTTTTCATTCAGAGAGACCCCAAGTCATTCTCCACAGGGCTGCTCTCAGTGAGTTCTCCCAGTCAGTCCTCATATCTGGGGTTGCCCCAAACCAGGTGCAACATCTTACACTTGGCCTTGTTGAACTTCCTGAGACTCTCGTGGGCCCACCTCTCAAGTTTGTCCGGGTCTCCCTGGATGCCAGCCCTTCCCTCTGTTGTGCCAACAGCACCACTCAGGTGTGTGTCATCTGCAAAGCTGCTGAGGGGGCACTAGATCTCACTATGCCACTGATCCAGGTATTAAGGACACCAGTTCCTGAGGGACATGACTGGCTCTGACCTGGACAGAGAGCCAATGACCACAACTCTCTGGATGCGTCCATCCAACCAAATCCTTATCCACTGAACAGTCAACCCTCCCAATTCATTCTCTCCAATTTGGAGATTAGGATATCATATGGAATCACATCAAAGGTCTTAGAGAAGTGTAGGTATATTACATTAATCTGTCTTCTCTCGCCAAACATTGCAGTCACTCCATCATAGAAGGCCACCAGATTGGTCAGGCATGATCTGCCCCCAGTCAAGCGATGCTGGCTACCTCAAATCACCTCCTTTTCTTGCATAAGCCTTCTTAACACTGCTTCCATGAGGAAGTCTGAGCAGCCCAGCACCATGTTTGTTTTTAGCCAGCCCTATATGAGAGCCTCCTCTCCTTGACAGAAATGAAAGCTGTCCTGCTCCAGTGAAGCTCAGCAGCTGATCTGGCCTTCGGGTCATGGCAGTAAAACCTGTTTGTTTTGCTGCTGGTCAAGGTTGGCTCAGCCAGCTTGGCATGGCCCACGTGTGTGTGTGTAAGAATAAGCAAGCTAAAAAAAGAGTCCTGCTGCAGCTACACCCCAGGCCAGCTCTCCATCCCTCAAGCTGCTTGAAGGTTGGCCACCTGCCTCCCTGCCTGCCCCAAGGAGTGATTGGGCAGAAGGTTTTGCTTACACAGCTGAGCCCACATCCCTGTAAAACCTGGAATTCATGGCTGGGTACATGACAATGCTGCCCAGTGCACACCCTGGCCACTCTCTCTCCCTCCAGCCTGGAAACCAGAGTCTCTACCTCTCTCCGCCACCAACAATTACAAGTGCCGATGGAAAATATGCTGCCTGGCAGCAAACCTGCTTTTTCCCCAGTATAAATGGACTGTAATAACACTTGGGAGAGAAAAAGCTGGCCCACCCAACAATCCATTTTAAAGGGGATCTAAAGGAACAAGCCAGAAGCTTTTTTCAGCTTCCTTTTCCATTGCACCATTGCTATAGATTGCAATTGCAATTCCACAGAGCAGAGCGAGCAGGACAGGACAGCAAAGGACAGCAGGGAGACTCATGCAGGCTCTTCTTGGAGCTCATATTCTGTGCTAATTCATTTGCAGGCAAGTCCAAGATACTGAAACCACAGCCAACAGGTAGACAGTTGTAAAAGCCAGACTAAAATTGTCCTTTGGAACACCCTAGAGTTTTACTTAAAAAACAAACTCAGAAATTAGTGAGATCAGCTTGTGAAACACCAGTGTTAGGTTTCTGTGGATCAGGTTCCTTTCCCGTGTTAGTCATTGCCATGCAAGAAGAATCACAAGCATTGGCATCCCTCTGAGACATCATGCAGAGACACACAGGAGCCCTTATTGCCATGGATAGCACCAACAAAAAAACAAAACAGGAGCAGTACATGCAGCTTTTGGCTGCCCTAGCCATCAGATGGCCCAAAACAATTATTCAGGAAAACCAAATTCCTGAGTCCCTGACTAGGGCTACTTAAATTAACTTGAGGGGGAAAAAGAAATGTTAAAAAAAAAAAAAAAAAAAAGGGTTCTAAGTATATAATAATGTTCCAAGCAACAAAAAGAGGAAGACAGGTGAGGGGCCACCACATGAGCTCTTGATAAATAAGTTCAGTGCCTTTGGTGTGCACAGGGTGCTTCTTCCTTGCCAATGCCACTGGACACAGACAGATCACTGAGTCCTGTACACACAAGTCATGCAAGCAAAAAATAGTATGATCTACAGCTGGGAGCCAAGAAACCCTAAGAATTGGTCCCAGTACTCTGCTTCTCTGAATTTGGGAAATCAATTCACCTTTCTCTACATCTGTGGCAATCACACATAATATGTGCAGTTCCCATGTGAAAGCAGCACGAAGCATCTATTGTGTTGAAAACAAAGCTGAAGAGAAGGCTTGAAGCTTTTATTCCTAATTTGTATGCTCTACTTTTGTTTGAAGACTGAGAGAACCCCTTTCACTTATACTAAGGAAAATCTGATTTTAAAAGCAGATGGCTATGAAGGTGGCCAGAATCACTTTAGTCAGAGCTGCAGAAGAGCATTGCCATCATCAGCAAACCAAACTAAAAAACCTCACACAACATAATATGCTGCACTATCGCGGCTCTCCTGTCCTAGTGCTGCTTTCATGGTAGCTCAGGTCCTTGCCTGGCAGGTCATGGCAGACACTTGAGCCTGAAGGGCACGCACTGGGTATGGAGGAGGCCTACAGCCCTCATTAAAAACATATGAATAGTAATGTTCACTCAGAGACACTGCTCATCTTGCCTGACCACGTAAAGATGCCAATAGCAACATGTCCTATTTTCCTGAAGGATTTTAGCATGGCAGTTCCCAAGAGAACTGCTTCAGTGGGCGACTGCCAAGCTGAAGACGCCAAGGCCAGTAAGGCTCACGCTCTGCACATGAGTTTTACAGCCCACTGACCTCCAGTACCACAGTCCTGGCTCACTCTGCTTTGAGCTACAAATACCTGCTGGCCACCTTCAGAAACATGCCTACACACGTGAAGAGCAGCTCTACTGAAACTATCCTCCAGCTCCACTGAAAGCTTCACTCCTGTCTGTGCTCTTTAGTGAGATGCTGTGTATCTCAGAAGAAAGAAGTTTTAAACCCATGTCGCGTAACACTGAACAAGCAGCGAGGCTCAGTGAGGCTCAGTGATGCATTTTCTATGGACTGTACATGTCCGAGGTCAGCGCTGGCCCCAGGACACCACGGGCTGTGTCACCGGCAAAGGGCGATGGCCGAGAGGTCTCCGTTCACTCGGCTCGGTCCCGCCGAGTCCCGCGGGGCTGCGGCCGCTCTCCCGCCGCCCGGCGCGTTCGGCTCCCGCCTGGGCTGCAGGGAGAGGGATGCCCAGAGCTCTGCAGGAACTTTGGTGGGCACAGTACCCCCTCCCAGGGGCCCGACCCTGCCTGTGCCCCGGTACCCACCGGGACGGAGAACACGCACAAAACAAAAGTTACCCCGTCAGGAGAACCCGGGGACAGCCACACCAACGCGACCCGCCGCGGGCAGCCCGCACGGCCGCTCCGTCCCGACCCGCATCCCCCGCAGCCCCGGGCGCGCTCCGGGTCCCCGTGGCCCCGGACAGACTCACCGGGCCGGGCCGGGTCGGCGGCCCCGCTCCGGGCGCTCCGCGCACACCGGCGCTGTCGGCGCGGCGGCTCCGCGCGGCGAGGGGCAGGAGCCGCCCCGCCCGGGCTGCCGCTGCTCTCCGCTTTGTTGCTTCTCTCCTCCTTCAAGCCACCCCCGCCAGCCCTAGGAGCCGAGCCGTGCCCCGGCGGGCGGCAGCGGGCTGTCTGATCTCCCCCTCGGCTCCCCCATTAGCTTCCCAGATGGTGTTGGACCGAGGGCACGGCGGACGGAGAGGAAATGCGCTCATCTTGCTTCTCGGATGTGTTCTGACCTCCTGGTGGTCGTGCCTGAAAGTCAGGAAAGCAGCTGAAACACGGAACCCCATGTACTGTTCTTATCAAAGCAAAGGAGTAGATCTTGGAACTGCTGACCCATTTTCGTGCTCTAAGCTGGCACAAGTAAAAAGCTGTGGGACTGCTAACATCCTTCCCCAGAAGTGGCCCAGAAGCAGTACTAGTTTCTCTAAAATCATTGTGTATCCTGAGTTGGAGGGGACCCAGAGGGTCAAGTCCTGGCTGTGCACATGACAGCCCCACCATGTGCCTGACAGCTTGTCCGAACACTTTCTGAATTCTGACAGGCTTGGTCCTAGCAGGGATGAGGGAACTGAGGCACAGCAAGTGTTAGCTAATGATCGAGGCCACAGTGAGGGGTTTTTGAAAGTGTTTTTGAACACCATCCTCATTCTAGAGTTAAGGGCCATCTTGTATTTCTCACAAAAATGTTTTCTCAACAACTGTCAGTTTCACAG